TACTTAATTTCAACACAATTTTAATTTAAATTTGCATTATGATCATTGTTTTCCATATATACTTGTGTGTGTGTGTGTGTGTGTGTGTGTGTGTGTGTATTTATGTAACCATGATATTATAAAAACAAAAGTGAACTGATTTAAAGAAAGATAGCAATTAGTAATAGTATAGAGTGCAGATATACATGGCAAAAAAAAATGAGAGAAAATACACAAATACAAGAAGACTTGGAGAAACTTCCTGCACATTAAGAGAAAATAAATTTGTCCTCTTAAATCAGAAAATATAATTCAAAGGACACTGGAGAAATATATTTCCAAATTCTCTCCTCCCATTATTTTATAAATAAGAAAATAGAGTATTAGAACGCCATTAACTGAAGATGCACAAATACTTTTGACAAAGGTGAACTTAAAAGTGTGCTTTGAATTCCATCTGGGGGCTAGTAGGAGGGTCTTTATTTGCCACATAGATTACAGTAACAAAATGGTGGACCAAAGATTTCTCAGAGAAAATACCAGTAAAACATTAGCTTATACTACTGAGCTGGAATCTTTTCCAACCAGCAAATACTGCACAAATCGAAATTCAGTAAAGGAATATTTTTTTTCTTCAGCTAAACTGTGTAATGGTACACAACCAGTTACCAATGGTCTTCAAATAGTCTCTTCTGAAGACATCACTCTCCATCCTGTTACACTGCCATATATATGTGTGTGTGTGTGTTTGTGGTGTATGCTTGAATCTTTTGGGGTTAAGACCCAATTTCACCTATCTATCCATCCATTTGACAAAGACTTACCATGTGTCTATTATAAGCCAGGAACTCAAAGGAACTGTGAATCCTACAAAATCTAAGTCCTTGTTTTCTGAAATCTTACAGTCAAATGGAGAAGACTGGTTACTCCCAGTTAAATAAATCATTCATAATAACTGACTGATATTAATGCTACTAGAGAAATTAAGAGGGTGTTACAGTGTATGATGAGAGAGAGGTCCAATTTCCACTAGAGTGATCATTTTAAGGCTATACTGATAAAGTGAATTTTCAGCTGAGGACCGATAGAAGGGGAAAATCATAGTAAAATCAGATTTTTAAGGGGAAAATATTCCATATAGAAAGAAGAGTAGAAAAAGGCCTTGTAGCCTAAATAAGTGAGTGAGTGTGTTTTGAGATTTAATAAGAAGTCATCCCTCCTAGATATTTCCAAACAGGGAAGGGTAGCTAAAGATGTGGAAGACAATGAGCCAGATCATGCGGGCATTTGTATGCCATGGATAGAAGCATAGTTTTTATTCTGAGAATAATTGACTTAAGCAGAGATGCAACATAACTTAAGTTTAGGTTTTAAAATGATACCTCTGGTAGTGATGTGGACAATAATTTAAGGGTATAAGAACAGAAATGAAGAAATCAATCTCGAGATTATGGCAGAAGTCTGGGTAAAATATGATGGTGTCTTAGCTAGAATGGGAGTTCCCAAGATTGAGAAAAATAGATGGGGGAATGAGGTATGTTTTGGAGAGAGAATGGACAGGGTCACTGATGAATTGGATGTGAGGGATGACAGAAAGGAAGAAGTCTAGTATGACTCTCAGGCTTCTGGCTTTGGCAACTGGTGGCACTGTTTACAGGGATGGAAAAGGCTGAGAAGAGCCAGGCTGGAAGAGGAAACTAAGAGTTCTCTTTTGGCCATATTAAACTTGAGAAGCCTACAAGACATCCAAGTAGAAATGTTAAATGGATAATTGAATGTTTGAGTCTCCAGCTTATAGGAAGCACATGGCCTGAAGATAGAAAGTGGAACACCCTCAGCCTATAGATGGGTTTATGTTCTGGAAATTAATGGAGATATATCTTTCTGAATCAATCTCCACACATGGTGCTTTCTATTTCCCTTCAGATTCTGAGAATTTAGATCCTTGACCTCTCAACTCTGGGTGCTCCTTACCCTCTACCTTTGGGTTCTTCTCTGTGAAAATTTCCACTTGTGCCTTCAAGCTAACCGGAAAGTGGCCATACAGACCCTTCTGAATTTATGACTTTTTAACTACAGTGGAAAAAAACCACTGCAGATGACAGTAGAAACCACTGGGATGGTTTTCAGTAAAAACTGAAATGTTTTCTCTTACTGTAAATGGAGCTACCTAGGGACTCCTTGTTCCTAATTTCCCTAGTGGTGCTTATAGAGAAAGTTCTCTCATTTATTCTTCACCTATAGCTCTACCATTCTTGTGAGTTTTCTAAGAGACACTTAGTGGCAGAATTCAGAATAGTTCAGAATCCCAGAAAATGAGATATGGAGAAGTCACCAAAATTGAATCCAATTTGTTTATGTTACATGTTAAAAAATAAAAACCTGGGACCAGCAGTTAGCATAATGGCTATGTCGCTGGACTCCCATGTAGTCGACCGCGGTTCAAGTCCCGGACCTGGTGGCTTAAACTTACGCTGGGAGCATGTGCATGCGTGCCCAAGATCCCAAGAGGAGAATGGAGGAGAAGGGATTGCGGCGTGGCCATCCTCCCTGGGGTGTGATTTCTTGCTTTCCATCTCTCTGTCTCTCTCTGTCTGTCTGGTGAGTGCATGCACCCTATAGCGAAAACCTCTCCAAAATAAATAAATAAATAAATAAATAAATAAATAAATACAAACCTAAAAAGTTTAAGTTCCTGACCAGTACAGTGACTATATTTGCTTAAAGCTGTAGAGAGATGCCTACTAGTCCACTTGGTAGGGGCAACAAAATTGTCTCTTGTGGAAACTGACTTCTTCCCTTTATCAAAGATGTATTCACAGAGGTTTTACAGGAAGACTTCTAAAACAAAGTTTTATCTCACTGTCTTATTCAGGAGGCTTCTGAACCCAGCAGGACATTGAATGATATATATATATATATATATATAAAATATTATATATATTTAGAAACATTATAATGCTTTGTATACTTGGTATCTATATTATTTTCACCAACACTCTGAGTTTTTTTTTTGTTATGATTAAATCCACACATACTCAGATAAGAAAATTTACAAAATAAAGTATAAAAAAAATCAACCTTTGTTCCCACAAATCTTTGATAATCACTTTTTTATATTTTGGTATATGTAGTTCCAGACCTTATTCTTTGCATATAGGAAGACAAGTACTTTTGTGTGTATTCCATATACAAAATAACTCTACACATAATTATATAATATATATATATACACACACACACACATTCATGTATAGTTATATATTTCTGTGTGTGTGTGTGTGTGTGTATATACTATGTACATATGCACACATGTGAACTATACATGCACATATATATTTTATATATCTTTCTCTAATTTTTTCAATACACACACATCTCATTGCTCAGACTGATTTAATTGTCCTTTCATATATTCTAGACTACATGAATGCAACTAACTTACTTCATCTTGTGAGTTCTTAGACAAGGAAAGGCTATGAGTTCCTGTCCAAAGTAAACTAGGAAACTCTGAAGGTGCCCTACCAAGTCTCCTTCATTGGATGCTGTATCCATCTGTCAGATGCTATAAGAGCAAATGATTTATACTCTGCTTTTCTCTAAAGAATTGCCTTCTGCTAAAGCCTGAAACACACACACATACACATACATGCACACACACACGGACAGGTGCATGGGATGCTCAAGCCACTTGCCTCAGAGTAGAACCAACTTTTTGAGGTGATTCATGATCCAGAGATCCCTGTGGAACCAATCTAAAACTCATGTCTAGTTAAGATAACACATTTGTTCAGCTTCCTTCACTGCCTTATCTTGTTTTTCTCATTTACTTTCCCCCAAAAGTCCTTCCTCAATAAATTATTTACAAAAGTATTTACATCTCTGGCTCCACTTTTAAAGAATCTCATTTAAACCACTATTTTGGTGGTAATGGAGAACTACACATTGCAATTCTAGAAAAATCCTTCACCCTGGGCCCAGAAGTTGGTAGCATGCCAAGCTGCAGTGCTGGAAGCCACATGGTGAACATGGTTTGAAATCTTGTCCCAGTTGGCCTGTAACATTCCAGGTATGCACATAAGTGTCCAAGATTCAACAAGCTAGAGGACTGGAGGAAGAGGACCATGATGTAATATAACCCTGTGGAGGGTGTTACTCTCCCACTTTCTGTCGCTTCTCTCTCTCTCATATATATGTATATTTTATGATAAAGAATAATTTTTTAAAAGAATAAAAAAAAACTCCATCTCTGTATTTTGAGACTATTTCTGCTGTACATAGTGACCAAAAAGTTTGTATTAAGGTTGACACACCTAACATCCTAAAATTGGAAAAAAGTAGTCTTCCAGTTTTACCTGAAATATATTTTAAACAATTTTAACATATTTCTTACAAACATATTTTTGATAGAAAAGAGCTGCTCACTACCAATTCAGTATAATAGAATGAGCATAATCTGAGTACTTAATACATCATACATAAGTCAGGATTTTCTAATCTCTCAGTTTTCTCTTAAGTAAAATGTATAGAAAAATACTCAACTGGCAGTAGCACTTCTGAGAGAATTAAATTATGCTATATATATATATACATACATACATATATAAGGTACTTAGCAAAATGTGGTACACGTTATAAGCTCAGTAAATGCTGGTTCTGTTATATATTTTTATAAATAAAGGTAATAAGTAGATGTTTAAGGAGGTAAGGAGTGTTCTTTGACCAAGACTGGAGGGCCCACTCATGGAGCATGAGTCAAAGCCAGAAAACTATGACTCTCTCAGTCTTATGCTGGCACCAGTAAGATGGCCATGATGATTAGTGTTTGTGTCACCAAAAACCCTGAATGAACCCAAATATTCACACTCCTACTTAGAGAATAATAGATAATGCATAACGTGTTTGTCTCAGAGAATAGAGAAACTCTTCATGGTTTGATTTTTCACCTCAAAACTTTAAAATAATAAAACAATTTTTTCCTCCAAACAACTATTCATCATCCCCCAGACATTCATGCTTCCATGAATCTTTATTTTTCTAAATTTTACATCCTAGAAATGGAAGATGTCCTTCTAGAGACCTGATAGGGCATTTATTTATGTTAGGAAGGAAGAACATTAATGTGGGTAAGGGAACGTAGTTTCTCATGCCATTTTTACCATCGGGATAAATTCACTTTCCAGTAGTAAATTTTTGTAATACACACACACACACACCAGGATGTTTGGTATTACTAAGAAAAAAATTAAAATAGATATTGTCAATCAGAAACAGTGAAAAAACATGAGATGACTTTGTAAACCATGGGGGATAAAGGTGGAAGAGGCTCAATGGTCATGATTATAAGTAACTTATTTTCTCTGTTCTCATCTCTACTGAGAAATAATAGTGAAAGTAGGCTTAGTCTCACACTTCAGAGATTAGACATAAGGAAAAATGCCTTAATGAGGGGAGCCACTGGACACAAGAATGAATGGCAGAGTTTGTGACATGTTCTCCAGAGATCTTCTCAGAATGGGTATCGATCTCATCTGTTTTGGGTTGACCAATTAGATGTGGCTTCTCTGGGCAGTGGAGAGGATGGACTCACAAGGTGACATAGGGTTCCTCCTGGCCTCTGGCTTTGCAAGGTAGACATGGGTCCATGGACACTGAAAAAAAAAAAAACTCAATGATGTCTCCTGATTATGTACCTCCTAAGAACTGTATCTGAGGCCAAAATTATGACAACTATCTAGCATTGTCCAGAATGTCAATACAAGCTCAAGTGTGTTGATTTTTACCATGCTACATATGAACACTAGACATGCTCACAAATCATCTCATGGGAATTCTCCAAGCATTACATAAGGTACAACCAAACTTCCTGGAAATATTTCACCATGTAAACACAGCTAGGTTAAAACTTTGTATAGGACCCTTCACTTCCCTGATTTTACTTGTTTGAATGACTACATTCACACACACATTTACTAACAATATTACAATCAAACTATTTTTAGCATCCAAATAGACCTGAAATAATTCAGGTGAGAAAAATTGATATGTTGGGTCACTGGAAAAAATCATGACACATTTTTCATAGCAAAACAGAAAAAATACGTCATGGTTTTTCTAACGACCCAGTAACACAGGATGTTTTCAGCCCATCTTCTGGCATTACTGTGATAATGAACTTGATATCTTTCATTTGTTGTCTTGTTTTGGTTTTGTATTTTTTCTAGAGGGTGCCTGCTCTCCACATGGAGACAGAGAGTGAGAGGGAGAATAGAAAGTATCTGAATGGTCACTCTATAATCCCTTTTCCTCATATCTTCCTTCTTTTGGGACTTTGAGCATATGAATCTGGCCTGTTTCTCAAACCACCAGGTCTGAGACTCAAACCACAATCATCCACATGGAATCCAGCTACCTTAACTACCAGGTCATGGTGCCAGCCCCACAGCACTCTTGTTTCCATTCCAAGGCCCTCCTCATCTGATCATTAATTCACTAGAAGGAATGGCCTGCCTTTGACATTAAGATCACACTAGACTCAGCCCAGCTGCATCCAAGTGAATTGGACATGTCTCACAAGAGGGTGAGGCTGAATTCCAGACTCACCTAAAAAGCCAGGTGCACCGGTACATACCTGTAGACCCAGCTACTTGAAGACTGAGGGGGGAGGATTGTGACACACAGAAACTTCATTTAAAATACCACACAAACACACCACAGATAGACACAGACACACAAAGGCCCAACTGTAGCAGCACACACTACTAAGATACTATGTTCTGTACCAGCAGATGGCATAATGGTTGCGTCACTGGACTCCCATATGGCTGACTGTGGTTCGAGTTCCAGACCCAGAGGCTTTAAATTCATGTTGAATACATGTGCATGCATGCCCAATCCTAAGAAGAGAATGGAGGAGAAGAGATTGCAACAGGCCATTCATCCAGGGTGTGATTTCTCACTTTCTTTCTCTGTCTCTCTGTCTCTCTAGTGAGTACACGTGCCCGATAGCGAAAATCTCTCTTAAAAATAAAATAAAGATACTGTACACTCAGACCACACAGAAGGTCTGGGCTCAGTTCCTGGTCCAACTTAACTGCTGGGTGCTATGGCATGCACCGATAACCCCAGCAACTCAGGAGACTGAAGCAGGATGATTGTGAGCTTGATGTGGGCCTGGACAACAAAGTAAGACCCTGTCTGAAAACAAAAGAGCTGGACATGGTGGTTATGCCTGAAGTCCAAGCCAGGAGGACTGTGACACAGTGATACCCTGTCTTAAAACACACACACACAACTTGGAAAGTTATTCATAGCAGAAACTTTCTCCACATTGGCATACATAATTTTATTACTTATTTTTTCCTGTGTATGCTACTTCTTTTGCACAAAAAAGTATGCAAGTAGGCTTACTATGGACATAGTGTACAATATCTAGTCATATCTGATATGGTTAAAACAAAAGCTAACAGGATCAAAAGTTAAGGATTATGTCAGAACAAAATGCTATGAAAAGTAACATCGAAACTTGAAGATTAGCAGTGACATGTTTAAAACTTGTTTAGTCTCGAGGCCAGTAGGTAGCATGGTAGTTGAGGTGCTGGACTCCCTCGTGGTGAACAGCTTTCAAGTCCTGGACCCAGAGGCCTAAAAGTGACAACAAAAAAATAGATAAATAAATTAACTAATTAATGTTTAAATAAATAAAAAATGAAAAAAAAAACTTACTTGGTCTCAAAAATTAATTGAAAGTACCTAGCTGCCCTAACATCTATCTGCTTGATGCAAGGTTCATGGAATAAGTTTAATATGGTTGTGGTGTGTTATTCTTTTTCATATTTCTAGACTTGCTTTTCTAGTATCTTATGTGGGACTTTGAATCAACTCATAATTTATTTTATTTTAAAGATCTTATTTATTTTATTATTATTTAAAATATTTTTCTCATCAGATGGCCTCTGTTTTTTTTCTTTATAACGGTGTTCTTATTAAGCTTTGGTTTCACAGACTTTTCAAGAACTTGAGGAGTCTAGAAATCTTGTATCCCTCCCCCACTTACCAAGGTATACCAAAATAGAATTAAGTTTATAAACATACAAACAGTGGTTTAACTTTTGAATGTAATGGTTATAGTAAAAGAATAACAACTAACCATAGTTTTGGTCATTCTTGTCTTTCAAGGATCTAACTCTGCCTAGCACATAGTAGGTACTCAACCACTAGGCAAAATAAATACCTGGGTGAATAAAGCGATGTATAGGTAGGATGGTAACGAATGAATTGCTGCTAACTTATCAATTATTTTTAATTCTCAAACTTCTTCCATAATTGTAGTAGTTTGATTTGTGGCCTTCAAAAGATACATCTATCCATAATATCCGAATATAACCTTATTTGGAATCAGGTTCGTTGCTCATGTAATTACAATGAGGAAAACATATAATCATCCAGGCTAAGGTGAGTCCTTAAAGCCAATGTCTTTTTGTCTATTTGTAGGCAAAAAGAAGACACACGGAAACAGGAGGAGAGCCATGCGAAGACTAAAGTAGGGATTAAGTGAATACCAAGGATTGGCATAGATGCCAGAAGCTTAGAAGGATAGAAATGATCCCGCTTCAGAGCCTCCAGAAAGAACTAACCCTGCTGACATCTTGCTTTGGTACTCCTGGCCTCCAGAACTGGGAAAGAATAAGTTTCTGCTATTTTAAACCACCAAATGGTTTAAAACATTATACTACACAAGTAGCTTGTGTATATTATAATTTTGGATTAGAAATCAGCTGATCTATTTTCTTAAAATATGTGTTTATTTCTAAATCATAAGATGAGAGAGATTGGGTTGTATTCTGTTTTATAAAGTGGATGGCACCTTGGCAACTTTTTCATTCGTATTAAATGAAAAGACACATTGCTTATAATCCCTGTTATATTTGTCCTTTCTAATCACCAATTTTCCAAGAGCTTAAGCTATCCTGGTTTGTCTTATAGGAGTTTTAATCCTAAGAATTCACTGTGCTGATTTGATGCTGATCATATTGAACAAAATTTAAATAATTACTATAATTTGTGTGGTATCTCTTTAATAATTGATGCTTTTTTGCTTCTTGATATTAGCCAACTATTTGGGGGTACACTTAAACATATACTAAGAACTGCAGTCAATTAGATTATGGTTCCAAAGATACTTACTCCCCTCGCCTTCATGTTCTCTACCCGTGATATTCCCCCCAGCATATTTCTGTTCTCCCAGACCTCTGGCTATAGGCTCAGATTCACACTTGGATGTTCCTAAATTCAGTTACAAAGGGATATTGATAATAAAATTCTGATAATAAGACTACTATGTTTCTTGAGCTTTTTTGTCAAGAGACAGAAAGAAGAGAGAGAAGGAAAGTGAAAAATCACCCCCGGGGGGATGCTTATGCCACAATTCCTTCTCCTCCATTCTCCTCTTGGGATATTGGGCATGCATGCACACAAGCCACTTGATTTTTCAAGTAGCCAGGTCCAGGACTTGAACCATGGTCAGCCATGTAGGAGTCCACTACCTTAACCATTGTGCCATCTGTTGGCTCCAAGACTACTACAATTTTTAACTTTACATTCACATTTTAAGCAAAGGTACTTTTTAGTGGATTATAGAGAACATGCTAAACTTTTTGCTCCCTACTTCCCTTCCAATGCATGTTACACTCACCAATCTTCCCCCTGACAACTCATAAAAGATCCTAAACTAGGTGATAATATATTTTAAGTTTATTTATTTATTCTGAGAGAGAGAGAGAAGCAGGGAATTGGTCATGATTTACCCCAAGTCTCAGACAGCAAGGATCACAGACATGGGTCCCTGTGACCTTCCCTTGTGACCTTAGTGTTGTAAAGCGTTTGTTACTGCTGCACCACCACTATTACTTATTTGTATGTTTAGTTTTAGTGACACACAAGAACTGTACATATCTATGGGGCATCACGTGACTTTTCAGTACAAGACTATAACTAAATCAGGTTAGTTACCCATGGTCTCAAACATCTGTCATTACTTTGTGTTGAGAACATTAAAAATCCTCTTTTAGCGGTAACCAGCAGTTAGCGTAATGGCTATGTCGCGGGACTCCCACGTAGTCGACCACGGTTCACGTCTTGGACCCGGTGGCTTAAATCTCACGCCGGGCATGTGTGCATGCATACCCAAGATCCCGAGAGGAGAATGGAGGAGAAGGGATTGCGGCGTGACCATCCCCCCTGGGGGGTGATTTCTCGCTTTCTGTCTCTCTGTCTCTCTCTGTCTGTCTGGCGAGTGCACGCGCCCTATAGCGAAAACCTCTCAAAAAAAAAAATCCTCTTTTAGCTAATCTGAAAGATCAATAAACTGTTGTTGAATGTGATGTGTACACACAGACACACACACACACACACACACTGGAGAAGCCAGCTTTGTGGCACAGCAGTAATGCACTGCTCAAGAGAAGCTGGATCTCAAATGATAACCAAGGTTCGAATCCCAGAGTCCTGTTGGCCTGAGACAGGACAGACTCTTGCACAAGGGCCCGGGAGCTGGTAAGCTGGAGGACTGGAGGGAGGGGGTCATGGTGTAATCAAAACCAGGAGAGGGTGCTTTTCTCTTTCTCTCCTCTTACTCTCACATGTATGCTCA